AAAGATGTCACAAACCTTCACAGGAAAAATACTGGCAGTAGGTTTCACTCCCCCCTCACAACTTCCCTCCTCCAGAACTGGTGAAAATAACATGAGATGTCAAGCACCACATCCAAGTAATTCGGGGTGATTTGCTGTTCCTAAAATATTTGTAGCTACATAAAATATCCATTGATATATTATTGCTGTATCTGGCTGACCATGCACAAAATTTGAAAAACGTTTCTAAATCCAGATATTTCTTTTGATGCTGCAAGACAGAAGTCTAAACAGAGATTAAACAGGTCTTTGGAGAAAGGACATAGTTGATTGGTAAAGTTTCTTCTTCAAGAATCAGTAATGACATTGGAAGTGTGAGAATAAGAAGACATAAAAGAACTGGGACAGTTGACGGAACTAAGAAGAAAGGAAGAAGAAAACTAGTGGGGCATTCTGCAGGGCTATGAAGCTGAGAATAAGAAATTCGGTTTTAATGAAGAAGATGGTAAAGAGGAAATGCTCCAAAAAACAGAATAAACAAATCATACCTAATTTAGAAAGTGTGGGTGTTAGGAACATCATTAGTCACACATGAAAGAAGTGAAGTGACAGGTATGTGAAGAAAGATGCTGAGTTCAGTTACTATTGTAGTGCGTCTGTGAGTCTGCATAAAGCCAGGCAGTGAAAGAACCTTATTATATGTCAAAGAGAGAAAACTGTCTTCATTCATGGACTTAAGAGGTGCCCAAAAGAAAACTTTCCATATTATTTACACAGGCATTGATGCAGGTACAAGCAGGAACAGGTAAAACTGGGAAAAGGTCAAAGAAGAGTGTTATTAGTAAATATTATATTATTTATTTATTTATTTATTTGCTGCTAGATGACACTGGATCAACAAACATGCAAAATGTTTACAGGGATGAGGATTTAAAAACTGATATGAATGTTTCAGAACATGAGACCAGTATTAATGCCTCATGGCTGAGAAGACGTTTATCCTTTTCATGTTCTGTAATGCCTTCCTCACTGCTGGTGAACAAATAAAGGACTAGACGATACAGTACCCAAGTGATATAGTGGTATAGCCTAATTGGTATGGCCCAATTTGGTATGATAATTCTCTTGGGGCTTAGAAAACAATTTCTAAATCCATATAATCTATGATTTTTATTTTAAAAATCATTTTATTTTTGCAAGTTTATCAGCTAATGCACACTTGCAATTTTGTTGTTTTAAATGATTGCAGGGAAAGCTAGGAGTGGTCAAACAGCTTTAATTTGAAATAAAAGAGGAACAGAGACTAGTTGGTTTGGAAATAAAATTCTAAGTACAGTTCATCATATCTGAGCTTGCAGCTATTTTAGCTGCAGTGAAATAATGATATCAGTGTGCATAAACAATAGGTTGCTGTAATTCAATGTAGATTCCTTCAACATCTGTGGAGGAAATGATCTTCAGATCTTTGTGGTCTGCAAATCACCATCACGTGACTATACAAAAATAACCCAGTGGAAAATCTCTATTAAGAGCAGCATGTGTTCTTTCTCTCCAAAAGATCCCTCATTTGTACCATGGGCATAACATAAATGGAGGAAAGAGAAGATAATCTGTCCCACGAAAAAAAAGGGGAAATTTCAAACTTTGTGTCAGCAAATGCCTGGCTACAGCTGTTACTGTACAGCATGTGCCCATTTATTTGTATCACCTGTGCATAAATATAATCTTTAGAAAGGGCAGAGAGTTCTAATATTCTGATTTTCTTCTATTGAAGGATACTTCAACTGCACCTGCTTTGTCTGAACATGCCCTGTGCTTGCACGGGATCGACTACGAATATGCTGCAACCAAATGGAGACTGCAGCAACCCTGGAAATGAGTGAAAAGATTCATGTGAATTCCTCTGGGTCACCCTTTCCCTCCGAGCTCTCCTGTTTCTTCTTGCTTGGCTGTGTTTCGAAGTGAACTCATACTGAGTTCAGCTGGATGAGTGCCTGGAAAACAGCTTCAGAGCTGAATTTGCTACAGATTTCATGTAACTGGCTGAGGGGCTATTTCAGCCATGGAAATAGATTGCATATTTGCCAGTAAGACCAATGTGCACAGTTATCCTGTACTGGAATAATTTTCAGCCTCTGTAAAGGTAGCAGAGAAGACATTTCCTGCTTGATCATTGCCTTAGAAAAGATTTTAATTGGTAAAAATATATTTGCATAGAAGAAGTGTGTCGCGCATCACTACTAACATAAATATTTCACATTGATGCATAGGTTCAAGCACACTTAAATGAATGGGAATCCTGTGAAATCTCCCCAAAACATTGTGTAATATAGTATATATTTGTTCTCAACATTGCTCCTTGTTAGTACAGAGATATGGTGGCCTCTAGTGGCCTCAGTGCAGGACTGTGGCAAAGCTCCAGGGACTTCACCACAGATGTAAATCCTACCAATATGTGTTTTTAAACATGCAGGGTCACATTGCACGAGGAGGAAAGCCTGCAGCTCAGTCATGATGCCGAGTTAATCTACAGGTGCCAATAAAAGTGGATTTGTCAAAGAAAGTGGAAGCACTTCCCTGAGATTTAATTCACTGATACTTATCCAGCTCTTTGAAAATATAAAATGCTATATAAATGTGTTGTCAGAGGGCAGGAGGAGAATGTCCCTATGAATACCTGGTTGCTGTACGTTCTTATCACTAGCAGTTCACAGTGGTTTCCGCAGGGATAGGATAGCCAGGGCCCGACTTCGACTAAGCGAGCTGGGCCTGTTTAGCCGGGAGAAGCAAAGGTTGAGAAGGGATCTAACCACTGTGTTCAAGTACTGGGAGGGAGAATGTAGGGAGGATGGGGCCAGGCTCTTCTTCGTGGTGGCTGGTGACAGGACAAGGGGTAATGGGTACAAGTTGAAACACAGGAAGTTCCATCTCCATGTGAGGAAGAACTTCTTTCCTGTGAGGCCACATTCCTGTGAGGGTGACAGGGCCCTGGAACAGGCTGCCCAGAGAGGTTGTGGAGTCTCCTTCTCTGGAGATCTTCCAAACCCACCTGGATGCCTCCCTGTGCCCCGTGCTCTGGGTGTCCCTGCTGGAGCAGGGGGTTGGACTAGATGATCTCGAGAGGTCCCTTCCAACCTCAGCCATCCTGTGACCCTGTGATCCTTGGAGTTGGGATGACTCCCTCACGGCGCCCGCAGCAGCTGCAGCAATCCGGCTGCTGCTGCTATTTTGAACCATTCCAACGATGGGAAAAAAAAAAGGGCTATTTTAAACCTTACAGATTAGCATGTACTCTGTCTCATGAATATGTATATTCTGCTGTAGTTTTAGCCACAGAAATGTAGCTATCTATCTGGTGTAATTCTGCACCTTAATTGGATCCTTTTAGAACATCTTTCTATACACAGAGCCAATTTTTGCCTTCATTTCATGAAATGAACCCTATGGAGGCTCCAGATTTACTCCAAATTTTCTTCAGTTGTAAAATATGCCGTTGAGCAGTTCCCTGCCTGATAATTCACTGAGAACGAGGTGGAAGAAAGAAACTTCAGTCTGATCTTCCAAAACAAGAGTGAACCTGCCCAGGTGGGTATACACACAAGCAGAATTCTAACAAGTTTTGCGACGTTTAATCCATAATTTCATGTTTTTATAGGAGACTATGCAAATTTCCAGATGACTCTGGCTGTTACAGTTGCACAGAGCTCTCCTAAGATCTCATGAAGATTTGATTTTTCCTCAATTACACTGTTGAGCTAAATTTTTTCTGTTATAGTAAGATGTTTTAATTGCATAATAGCAGAATAATAGGGCTTTTGATCCACTTTATGGATGTTTTGCATTGTCAGACTGGCTTAAGGTGGCCTTTTTATAATAAATAAAATAAGCTTTTGGTCTTGTCTTTTCCGAACACTCATCCCAGTAAATGTAGTAGTAAGCACATTTCATTACTTGGATATCAGAGTTGTACTGAAGATCAGGCATACCCACAAATCCATGAAAATCAGAAGTTTAATATGTAGGTATATTTGGAAATTTGGCACATATGGTTCAAGTATTTCTAGGAATTCTAATTTACTCATTTGAATATAAAGAAATAATATTTACAAAAACAGTGGTCAAAATCAGCACATGTAGTATCAAAATACTCTGTATGTATGTGACACCTTCAAATTAAAGTATATGTAGCCCTTGCTTCCTTCATTTGAAGCTGACAAGGGCTGTAACACTAAGGGTACCTGCCTTAATGCTCCATCAGCTTCAAGATCTCCCTATTTGTACTAAAACTCCAATCTGGACAAATCATAATAATCTTAATATGATTATTATGATTCAAAAGGGTGTTTTCCTTCTTGAGCACTCAAGTCTAAAGTTTACATGAGTCTTCCCTTTTTTGATTTCTTAATGCAAATTTCTAGTCCTGTGACAAAGATAAAGACATAGAAGATATTATCGGAATGCACCTTACAGACTCCGGACTCCCATATAATTATTAGAAAGAAATATAACTGAAAAAATATTTTATAGAAAGGAAAGGGCACATTTTTTAAGCAATCTCCGATGCAGGTGGAGATAGTAGGCTGACTTCGAAGTGTCTGAAGTCTTCCACATGTGGAACGTAAGCGCTGTCTGAACTTCTGTCTGGCAGGATCAGAACAAAAATCCCATCAAAGTACTTGAGGCTGCTTCAGATTATAGACGTGTTAATGACCTCCTTCTCGTGTATTCTACCCTCAAAATCCTTTGTGTGTATTTCTAGGTCTCTTTGGCCAACCTGACTTTGGCCAATGAAATTACTCAGCTGTGGCATCAACGACTCCAACCTACGGTGCTGTGGAAATAAAAGGCCATTTCTATCACTGGAAGCCAAATATTCCCCTGTTCTGAAATTCTTCTCACACATTCTTGTGCTGATATATATTGAGAAATTACTAGAAATGTCCTTGTTCTTTAATGGACTTCAGATCTCTTACAATTTTCATCTCATATCCTTGTTTTATGGCTTAGGTACTACCTGTTAGACTGCAGAGTTTCAGATCTCAAGTTCCCTGATATCCTTGTGAAATATGTAGGTTGTGGAATTGTAAGCTATTTGTAAGCTAAATCCTTGTGAAGTAGTAAGCTATTTGAACAGAGTTTCAGAAATAAAGAAGTGATACACACAAAAATCATATGTAAATATGCAGTGAATGTTTCTGTCAGGCTGGTTGGAGAGCTGGTTCTTTTTCCTTGCTGAATCACGTAGTTAGCTTGCATCCTGGAGAGACAGAAATCTTGAAGAAAAACGTTGCGATGTCCGTGATATTATCACTGCTGTGCTACTGCGTATTTATTTTACTGACAGTAGTAGGAAGAGCAAAACTTCTGCTCATGAACCCCTCGGTGCCTGTAAGGGCCTGGGCATTGCGGGCTCCTTCCTGGAGCTGTTTCCTGGAGGATACATCAGCCCTAATATCTTCAGTTGAACATTTGTGTCCTTAACATCACATCAGTGTTACCACCTATCTTTAGCAGGCAGAATGCACTAGCAAACTCTACTAGGAATAATTTTGTATACCAATTACAAGTTGCATTTGTTACTAGTGGTAAAACAGAAAAAAAAAATCCATGTTTGGCACCCACTGAGAGCCCCTATGGTGTATCAGGACTGAGTAGCAATTGCTAGAAAAGTAATTAGTTCTCCCTCAATTACAGTTCACACACAGAGGCCTAGTATTTTTTTTCTGGAGAAAATATGCAGTTGCAAAGAAAAAAAAAATCAGTTGCTCCTCTGATAACCATTTATACCAACAAAAGAAGTTTATATTCTAGATTGATTAGAGTGAGGAATGCAGAATGACAGGATAAATATTATGGCTGAAAGTGGTCTGGACTGTGGTATTTACCTCGAGCCCCGGGCCGGGGTCACTCCGCAGGACCTGCTGCTCTGCCCAGATCACGAGGCTAGCGAGGAGGCCACGCACGCGGCGCCCGTGCTGCCGTCCCCTGGGTCTCTTCCTTCTCAAGAACAAGCACTTTGCTGATCAGGTTTCCCAAAAATTGCAGTTTAAATATTGCTGAAGTAGAATCTGAGGAAAGGCTTGCAGGTCAGTAGCGCACCAGTCAAGTAGTGCACCTTCAAGCACCAGTGAGATTCATCTGTTGAAGCGTCCATATGTTGAAGTTAAACAACTTTTCCTTTATCCTCTGGGATGACTCCCAGGCACCTGCAGCTGGGATTAAGCTCGTCGTAAGGCCCAGCCCTAGGCTGCGGGAAGCAAATTCCCAGATTTCCCTCTCAAGCTGCTCTGCTGGCTGCAATGGGAGCCCACACGTGCAGACGCCTATACCTTAAATGCCACCCTACCTATCTATAAAGGTACAGCTGAACTTATCACACTGGTTCTTCTAGTCGATGCAAATAAAGTTCAGGCAAATTAATCCTGCTGGTTATGGGAAGTGAAGTCTAGGGGAGAACCACAGCTCAGAGTGGGAGGAAGGTTTGGTGACTGATGTAAAAACTGCAAGGGCAACAAGGAGTCAGAACTGTGAAGCTTCTGGTACTTCAGACTTCAGAAAGCCTTGGGGCAGCTTCCAAGAAGCAGTGCAAGGCTGAGAGGCAAGAAAGCAAAGACCTGGACGGGCTGCCAACAGGAGAGATCACTGAGACCTGGGCAATACTGAAACATAGCAATAAAACAAAAATCAATGGGTTCTTGGAGTACATAGTTGTAAAGAAATCAAGCAGGATAGAGTACGGCTGTCCTTGTTGCGAGCGAGCAGTCTGACATGCTAAGGACTGGAGGCAAAGGTTGCTTTTTAACATAAGATCCTTATTTTTATAGCTGGTTTTTTTCATGATCTGCACTGGTGTCTCAGCATGCAAGAGAGGAATATCCTGGTTTGGTACTCGAGTAGATTGCCTTATATATCTTAATATATAGCTCTGGATAATATTTAATATTTATTTTCAGCTACTGTGCAAACATATAAAAGGATAGTTGACTTAAAAGCAAACCACTGGAAATAAAAGCTTGCAGTTTGTTTTCCTGATATTTTTGTTGTTCTGTTTAAGCAACATTATGGACTGAAAGATTATGAACTACTTCCTTGGTCAATAAAACTGTTGCAGCTCAACTGAACCTATTGACCTTCAAGCACCAAAAGGTTTGGCTCAAACTCTTTACTTACCAGGTTGAAATATCTATGTAATACATTAAATAATAAACTGCCTTTATGAAGGCTTTTTTTTTTTCCCCATCCGTATCTATTATCCCTTTCAACAGCAAGATCTCTGTGGAAAGAATTCTTGTATGGCAGTGAGGTAACTGGGAAAAGCAGGTCAATAAAGCAATAAACCTGTTTTTAGCTGTTCTGGCACTTTTAGTGTAACGCATACTTTGTCCACATGCATATTCAGTAAATTTATTCGACCCACATTTGAAAAGGAACAGATTTAAAGTCTTGGGTATAGAGTAAGAACAAAAGAAAAGGTAAATAATATTCTACTGCATTTGGAATAAATAGAATCAGCAAATGAACAGTGGCAACTCTCCACCTGAGAGAAACTCACGTTTGGAAGTTGAAAAATTCAGGAGAAACGTAAGGGTTTAAAACAAAGCAAAATCCTTGGATTTCCACGTGAGGTACAAATGAGTGGCAGCAAACATTCCTCTTCGTTACACAGAGCTACTTGCTGGTGCATCCACTAATGACTTCTGAAGGAATTGCTTCGGATGCTAGAGAGACCAGAGCGCTGGCTCTGGCTCTGATCATCCAGCTGACAATCCCTCGTGTTCAAAAATCTCACCTTTGGCAGTGACCAGTATCTGAGATTCGCGTGGATATAAGAAACACCGCAACGGGCAGCCAAGGAACAACCTGCTGTCCCTATAAAACAGCTGGTGGTTGGAGTCTGGCTTTGGCCCCCACTGACAACGTTCGTTCTTCATTCCAAAATTTTCACGTTTAATTTGATGGCCATTTTGTTAAGTGTTTTATTCTTCTTTCGCTCAGCGTTATTTTGTGCTTGATGAGGATTCCTGTCCTACCCTTGGTGCTGTTAACAGCAGCGTTTTCAGCCACAACACAGGGAAGGAGAGGGGGCCTGGACAGAAAACGGGGAATGAGGCCACGTTTCAGTGGCCAAAACTTCACACTTTGCTACAATATTGTCAGATTTCTGCCCTGCCCTCTCATGGTGCTAGAGCCTGTTCAGGGGCTGCAAAATTAAAATAAATCTGCTGTAATTACTCATCTTTTCTGCACAAAAGACATGTATATCCACATTCTGCCCTGGGGCTGGACAGTTTAAAAATAAAACCCTAAGCTACCTTGTAATTCATACTCTGAGTAGTTTAATTTGGTTTTCTTACTGTAAAGTAGAATTAAGGCTTTCATTGTTTTTATCCTCCTTCATCTATGCAGGCATTGAGTGATTAACTAAAAACAAAGACAACATAATAGCAGGGTTAAAATCACTCCTTGGTGTGATGGAGAGTTTGGCATCTGACAGTTATTTGCACTATCTCTGCAGTTATTATAAGGCAGCTGTAACTTTTTCTTTTTACTGATGAGTGAAATATTGTCATTGATATTTTACAAATCCTATTTCTTCTCCTGTTCCCTTTTCGCCTTTCCATTAGAGTACATTATTTTAAACAGATTAATACACTCTCTGTACAAATTTCAATGAAATATTTGGAGCATCTTGTACGTAAGAGAACTGTTGAGGACATCATTGGAATAATGTGCAAGTATTCTGGATTTTAAACATGCAGCAATGGAACACTCATTGCCACTCTCCTAATGATTTAATCCAGCAATTAAATCTGCACACTGCCTATTTATCAGGTAAATTCTATATATGGATTCTAATCTATTCCAATTATTGAATTCTTTTTTAATTTAAGGGCTCATACACGCGTGGCACCTTGTGAGAAAAGAGGATGCACTGATTTAGAAGAGACTGGAGCTTCCAGGTGGTGAGGACACAAGTAATCTTACCTATGTGACAGAATCAGTTAATTAGCATCCTAATCTGTGCTCACAGAATTTAATACAGCATGTGGCTTTTCAAATGGGTTTTAAAAACAGTTCAAGGCTGTAAAATTCTACACTTGTAAAAAAGGGATCATTCAAATTATTTATCATTATATATAACCATACTGCTTTTGTATAATGGGGCAGCTTCCAACAGGTAATAGGTAATATTAACAGGTAATAAATCAGCAAATGGAGGCTGAAAACTTTGTACCAAGGTATTCAAACTCACGTGGCTCCTGAAGGGCATCATGGTAAGATGAAATCAAAGGATGTTTGCCCTACAAATCCCTAGAAATGGTGGAGAAGGAGTTTCACAAACCTACCTGGCCCCAAGAGAAGAAAACCAACTAGGATTTCAGTGGTGAGAAGCAGGGAAATGAATTACAGGAAAGAATTAACAGAAAGTGGAAAGGTAAAGGGGCAGCATTTTTTCCTAAGAGTTTATTGGAGAAGGTGGTAGTATATTTAGTATATTCACTGTTCCATTTCTTCAGGGAGCTAAGGGGGGTTCCAGGCCCCGCAAGGATCTATCTGATCGGGATGTATCAGGTAAAATAACTTATTGCTGTTTTAGTCCTGGGCGTTATTTAATTTTCCTCTTTCTTTTGCTACATATTCTCTGCAATTGCTGTCATGATACTCAATTGTAGCAAAGCAAGAAAAGCCACCTCATTTCTTCTAAGGAAAACATGCTGTGATGGAAGACTTGGTGGAATATGTGGCCTAAACAGACTTCTCTTCCTTCCTGATGAGAAAAGGGCTAGTACTATTGACCTGAAAGGAAGTGTTAACTACAGAGGGACTAACCACCACAGAAAACCTGGGGAAGGCTTTGGAAGCATTTGGATTCTGCATGGATGTGGATCTGCACAAGGTATGAACTTCAGAACTCCATGTATATTCTTCAGAGGCCTAAATCTAACTAAGCGTGTGCTGAAGAAAGGCCCGGGCAAGCAGTTTACAGGTTGGAGTGTGAGACGAGTTGCTTAAGGGGGAGCTTGATTCTT